GGCGAAGGGCGGTGAGTGCTCACGCGAACAGGACAACAACGATTACGGATGTGTAGCGTGATGATGAACGGCGAGATGTCGCCGTTCATCGTCGTCATCTACTTGGTGAGCACCCCCCATCTCCCCCCTTTCATTTTCTTCTGACAACAATGCCAGGTGCCACGTCGCCAACAGCGACGTGGCAACCAAACGACGGACGACGAAATCTCGTCGTCCGTCGTCTCTGCTTATATTATCATGGTGAGCAGGCACTCTGCCACGTCACGCAACCCCACCACTGCAGACAACCACAGCCGCCCAACACGCGAACGACGACCTGCGCCTATGAAAAACGACGACCAGCACACGCCAACACCCCAGAGCCACAAGCGACAGACGGACGACGACGAAAATGCGCCGAGCGCTGCCAAAAAAAAAGAACGCCCACCATCGTGAAGACATGCTGGGCGCCCACCACCACGAACAAAGATTAGCGCCCACCAACACCACCTACGCCGAGCGCCAACCACCATGAAGACAGGCCGAGCGCCGACAACCGTGAAGACACACAGGGCGCCCACCACCACGAACGAAGAAGAGCGCCCACCAACACCACCTACACACGGCGACGAGGGCTTAGCACCTTCACTCCGTCCTTCATCCCTTATGGCCCATCACTCCCTCTCCCATTCCCCCACTCTCTCCCCATCTTCCTCTCCCTCACTCCCCCCATTCCCTCACTCCCTCTCCCATTCCCCCACTCCCTCCCCATCTCCCATTCCCTCACTCCCTCTCCCATTCCCACTCCCTCCCCATCTCCCATTCCCTCACTCCCTCCCCCATTCCCTCACTCCCTCCCCTCTCCCTCACTGCACACCACTCCCCCTCTCCCTCATTGCCTGCCTATATCCCTTCCCTCCCTCCCTCATTGCCTATAACCCCTTCCCCCCTCCCTCATTGCTTACCACCCTTTCCCCTCTCCCTCATTCCCCACCACCATCACCTCTTCCTCATGTCTACCACCTCCCTCACTCCCTCTTCCCTTGATTTAATAT